TCTGCCTTGTGCTTGTTGGTGGAGCAGGTTACTCCATCATTAGTGATGATGGTGCTTACCAATAAGGATGCTTTGCAGCGCAATGTGATACATTTTGCTTGGAATAAGTAGGTGTAGTCAACCCCTGAGAGGAACTGCCACCAATATTTTCCCTTGGCTTTATCAATGGCGCGGTTGAAAGCGTTCCAAGCTGTTTTATAGGCTTGGTGAGAATTGTCAGTACAATGCTTTTTCGACAGATGACAGAGACTAGATGCTTCCTTTTGAAGCGGATCTAAGGTCTCAGGTCTCCACCAAGCCTCATGCTTGCTGTATTGTGCTTTCTTTGGTGAGTTTTGTTTAGAGCATTGGTGATTGATGTGCGCAAGGTTTTGTCAAAAGTTTTAATTTTGTCTCATGTGACTAGAGGTTGGAGTTCTGGGAGAGAGGCAGTGAGATCTCTTTTCAGGTAAGCACTGTTCACCTTCTTCCAGTTCTTTCTCACATGTGATTGTGATTGGGATAGGGTTTTGTCTCCTGGGTTAGGGTTAGGGTTAGGGTTGACAATGTCATTTTTGTCAATAGGACAGGTAATCTTGGTGTCATCAAACTCCTTGTCAACCCATACCTGGTTGATAGAAATGCCTATGGAGTTTACTGATTGCACTCCAAATGTGGGAATGCCTCTTGGGGAGCGCAGGCTAAGACCCCATTCTGTAAGCATCTTGATCAGTTTTTTGGTGTCCTTGTTGTTCTGTTTGCTGTGGCTTGGGTTCCCAAGGGGTGAGTGAAGATTAGTGTCAGTGGTGCAGATTGTCAGGAGCAGTTGTGTAGTTAGTGGAGCTTTCTGAATCATTTTGACAAAGGCTTCAAACCCATCCAAGGTTTTCTGGGGATTGTATACACTGGCCACTAGTGCCATGTAGCCTTGTATGGTGATTGTGCTTGCCGTCAGATTCCTGGACAGCAAGAGTATGGGGTTGATGATGGGGTTAAAATCTTGTCTGATATACATGCAGGCCCAAGGTCTGTCCTACTCCCCAAGGGATTGCATAGTCGGACAGACAAGAGTCCAATTTGACATATTGAGTGGTAGGTTGTTGACGGGGTTAACATATGGCTCTTGGATTGAGATGATAGAAAAAAGTGAGGTTAAATCTGAATCAAAAAGTGAGTGAGTAACATATTTAGAGGGCTTGCAGTTCAGCTGTAGAACACCGGCTGAGTTGTCAATTTTGAGTTTTTCCCTCATATTTTGCTCTAACATTGAGTATGAGATGAACTTGCTTTGGCAACCACCTGGATATATGGTGAGCAGCTAGGTCTATGCAGTGGGAATTGTGTTAAGACTGGGGACAGGGTCTTGACAAGGGTTGAGGGGTTCTCAGGGGTATCTGATCTAAGATGATGCATTGTTGGATGCAGTATACAACAGGATCTTCTGCTGCTCATCTAAAGTACAATTAGTCATCTGTGATATGTATGTACAGTCATCCCTTGGCATATGCAACTAGTATATATGCATATCACACTATAAGGATCGGAAAGTTTGCGCCATTTTTTTGGGAACACAGAGCGCCTGCAAAAAAAATCCTTGATGCATAATGACTATTGCATATGGGGATCTGCTAAAAACATGTTTTATGCTTACAAAGCAAGTAAAAAAGTGTGCATGTAAGCATAGGGCACCATATTAAGGGTGCATATGCTTACATCATTGTAATAAGTACGTACAATCACACTACATAAGGTGTCTAATTGTGTAAACTATTCAAGTAGCATGAGAAATACAAAACAATTGTTGTGTTCTTTTCTTTTACATATGTATATGTGATACATTTTACTTCTTTTTGTTCCATTTAAATCTTTAAAGGCATTTTTTTCACTCATCTCAACTACATCCTTCTTCATCAACATTGTTCTCATTCTTTTTTTTTCTTTTTTCTTCTACACACTCTCTACGTTGCTTGGTCCTCGTTTTAACTTTTGAGCTGTTCCTCCTCATTTGAAGATCTCATCCCTTTTTTTCTTTTTTTTCTACACACTCTCTACATCGCTCGCTCCTGGTTTTGAGCTGTTCCTCCTCACTTGAAGAGCACCATTTCATGTTTCTATTCTACATACTGTACATGCCCTATACCTTTGTATGACCTTCACACACCAATCCAATGCTGTGAAATACAAAATTCTGCCATTCTGACCAAAAACCTAGCATGTAAGCATAAAATCATTTGTTTTATGCTTACATCATGAATTATGCCTACTTCACAAGTATGCATCTCACCTTGTTAGCATGGAGTTCCCTGCACTGAACTCTATGCTTACATCGAGGGATGACTGTATGTGGCACTTGTGGTACATGTGATTCATAAGAAAATGGCTCACAATTCTCACTGGGCATGTGGGGGCAAATGGGTGGTGTATGAAGTCAGCGTGATTTTCTTTGAACAAACCTGCCAAATTGGCACTGGGGTCTGCTTTCAGTTTACCCCTTGCACATGCAATGCATTTCTTTGCAGTGGTTCCTTTAGTAGGACAGTTGTGTGTATAGTGATCCCCTGAACAATAGGGGCACATGGGAGCTAGTTTACAAGCATCCGCTGTGTGTCCAATGCCTGGGCAGGTAAAACACTGCGTAGGGGGAGGGGCACTGATCTCTGTTTGGTACCGACCTCTCCCTTTCCACACCTTTGTGTGTGCTGCAAGGGTGGGTGGCTTCACTGAGAGTCTTGAATCCAATCAGCAGGGATGAGTGTTGTTTTGCTGAATCATCAGCCGTATCTTGCTTTCACCACCTCACAAAGAGGGTGTTATTGAGTAAGTCGCTGTTGCACATTTTCAAGAGGACACTGTCCTCTGGGTGTGTTGGATTGAAAGTGGTTGAGATGCCGTGAAAAATCACAGAGTGTATCTCCTGTTTCAGGGCGAGCTTGGTGAAACCTTTGGGAGCCAACAGTGCACCTGTCCTTGTAGCTCTTGGGCCTGTTTTGGGGTTTCCAGGTAAATCACCATGTCATTGGTCGGATGTCAGTTGATGTTACGTACCCTGATTGTGGATGTAGTTTCCAGAAACACCCTCATGTTGTTCTTCTTTAGAACAGCGTTTAGACTCTTAATGAGTTCAGGGATTGTCTTGCCGGCACCCGAGATATTTTTTGGGTCCTGTTGGGCAAGGGTGAGTGTTGCTTCCGTTCTGGGGCAAGTGTTGTGTTTTGGTTGAGCAAGTGGGCCCTGTTGTGTTTTGGTTGAGAAAGTGGGCCCTGTTGACTCTGGTTGGGAGCCTGAGTGCCTTTTGCTGCATGTTTTGAGGCTGCCAGGTAATATGACCCGTTTGCCTGGCCCGGTGGTTGTGATTGTTGTGGTCGAGCGCATTGGTTTTGATCTGGGTTGATAGCAGAATTGCTCTTGAATTACACCAGCAATCACTAACATATTGGCCGCTGAGTCAACATCTACATTGACCAATTTTGCCTGTTTGGATTTGGGAATCGGGGCTGCGTGGGATATGTCAAGCAGCCTCTGGACCAGGACTCCTAAATTTTTGGCTGTGGTAACCGAGCTGCCTGGGAACAATCACCTGATCCTGATTGATTGGGGGGCTCCAGTGATGTCCTCAGCTTTGTCAAGGGGGCTTGGAGAGGGCGCCCATTGTTGGTGTTGCTTCCTGGAGCTTTCCAGCGTAGCTGGAGTGCTTGAAGCAGACCCAATGAGTGACTGAGAGGGGAGAATTACCCTATCAATGGTTGTTGGGGGTGTAGGATGTGTTTTTGGCGTTGACATCGTCTTTTGACCCGTCAGGTCTGACACAACTAATGCATACATTGTGTTGTTGTGAGTGAATGTGTTGGCCTTCACAGTCGAGCCGTCCTGGATATCAGGATCAGAGGTCCTTTGTCCATCAGAAAACATGACAGAGGGTGAAAAATAAGGGAAAAAGAGAGGAAACAATTCAAGTGAAAATTATTAGGATAATGCAGTGGAGGACTGCTTGCGCAGTCATGGAGTCACATGACCAAATTCAAAAATTTGGTTTGGGACAGAATCCTCCCTCAATGCTCAAGGAACCACAAAAGTCGTCTGAATCTGAAAGCAACTCCAATAAATGGGTCTTGCTCAAACTAGATTTCAGACGCACTGTACCTTATCAGCATACCAACCACTGACCAGATCTATTTGGTTGCCATTGGCATGGACCTGCATGAGCTGGTACCCCATGCTGAGGGGTCAAAAGTCCCTCTATGTGTATTCATGTCAGCAACCAAGAGTAAGTCTTGCAGTTGATTGAATCAAACTCACTAAAAGATGATATTGCATGTCAAACCATCACTTGCGCTCAAATAAAAAAAATATCAATCCCAAAAACCAATCAACCCGCTTCCAAATGCAAAAAGTGAATTTACAAATCACCAAGCTTTTGAAACTCAAATGAGTTGGCATTGCTTTGTTCAGAATTGAAGAGCTTGAAGGGCTCATAAAGCTTGGCTGCATTGTGCAAGCCTGCTGACAGATAATTCAGTGTATCACCAGTTCAACAAACAAATGCAAAAGTGACTGACTCAATAAAGGCAGTTGATAAAGTTGGACATTCGAGGTTCTGTGTTGCTTGTTGCAATCAGCGTCAATGGAGCGTGAATGGGAAGGGATGAGGACAGGTGGCATGATGTGGTGTATGGACAGGTCGCGTTCGCTGCAGGGCAGCACGTGGGGGACCTCGTCTGTGATTACGATCGTTTTTGAATACAAGCATAATGTGGGCAGTACGATGCTTTTACAATGATTTAAAGTCCGATGATCAATCTACCCTGCAATTTCGCAAGATTCCAAAGCTCAGCAAAAAATATCTCTATAACTTTTACATTTCTTTCGCGTTCTAACTTCTACATATAATCGCGCGTACGATATTTCACCTCTACAGTCTATCATAGCAATATATCACGAGCGGGGAAAAAAATCGCACAACATGCTATCCTGATGACGAGGTGTTCGAAGACTGGGAAATAACTCATCAGATTTCATTTCCTTCAATTGCCTTTGAAGATGTTGAGCGTCGGTTTCCTTCGACTGGATGTGATTTTGGATCTGCTCGTATTCTCCAGTCCTTGTTGATCATCCAAACGGGACACAATGAAAGATATCGAGTGTCGACCTGGATGTTGAGGATCATCTAACTCGTTTTCAGGCTGAACTAAACTATCTAATGAATCATCGAATTCTCCTCTAGTATCTTGATCTACAATGCCTTCAATCCAATTGGTTACTGCTATCTTTTCATTTTCCGAAAACCCATGTGCTAATCCAGTGATGGTGTTGAATTTTGCTCGACCAAAAGCTGCTTGTGAGATCCTTTGTAAGAAGTTGAACCCGGCTTTTGCAGCGTTGTATGTTAACACTTCGTCTGTAGTTCCATGAATCCAATAGGAGGCAGTTGATCAATAAAACCCAGGAACAGGTCAAAGAAGGAGTGGTAGCCTGAAGGGTAAATGAAGGCAGATAGCGCGACTCAAAAGAGAGAAAAAGTCAGAAACTATTTGAACTTTGTGTCCCAGACGAGGAAACGACATACCAGCATCAATGTTGCAGCGGGGGGCTCAGGCGATGTCAAGCTAGTAAGGAGGGTCATCACGGCACCTTTTCGATTTATGATTTTTCGAAAAGAACCCACATCAGTATTCATCAACGTACAGATAAAAAGCCGAAAGAGGGTGTGATGAAATGATAATGTCATACCTTCATCAAAGCCTGCGATGATAATCTTGTTCATTTGCATTTTCGATTCTCTGACTTGCTCAGCAATAATGGTAGAAATTTGAATACGGCTTCGTCTCAATCCATCCTCATCTTCAAGATAATTCAAGTCCCTCCAGTCGTTGATATTAAACCAACCAGGTCGCGCTCCTCCATTGGGTTGATCTGAATAGACAGTGATTGGAATGATTCGACCTTCAGGGAGTATGAACCTAAGATCAGTCAAGTTTCTAATGCTTAGAGGTTCGAGTGGTTGTTGAAGAGTCGATAAGAATGTTCCTTGCCATTTGTGTCCGTGAGATGAGTCGGGAGAGTCGAGACCATGAATGAATACAACCGTCCCATCTGATCAACTTGCTTGGTAGATGTCTGGAACAAGTGCTCCGGTAGAGGAGCTGGATTTTGAATACTTCTAGGGGTTGCGGGTGACAAAGTTGACAAACAGTTTTTCTGATGGAAGAATTGAGGTCCGAAGTTCACACCTGACACGAAAGAAGCGATGATGTTTACCAAAATTGATAATATGTCAAGGTATCGGCAATCCATCTTAAAAGTCTCCAAACGCTGGCTTTCAAGTTAATCAAGACTGAATTCATCTTGCTTTTGAAGATGGCCAAGTCGTTAAGATTTACAGCTACGCTTTGTTTTCGCGTTTCAGAATGCTCAGGACTAATCTTCTTCATGTCAAGAGTGTTCAGGAAGTGATTGAAATTTGTAAAGGTGTTCTGATGGGACTAGATAAGATGAGTAAGATGTTGAGATTAATTTTGATTTGGATCAGAAAAAATGTTGTGTCAATTTTTTGGGGGAAATGTGATCTGAAAAGTCGTACTCAGCTTCGGAATTTGACTTGATCGTGGTAGTGCTAGTGGTAGTGCTATTATAAATGTGATCTTTCAACAATTGTCGTAATGTATATGTATATGTTAGCTATTTGACAAATGGTGCTGATCAGGTTGATCTTTGGTACAAAAGCGCGACTCCACTTCCAAAGCGCGACTTGACTTCCAAAGCGCGACTTGACTTCCAAAGCGCGACTTCACTTCCAAAGCGCGACTTCACTTCCAAAGCGCGACTTCTCTCCCACCACCAACACTTCATAATCCTCATCACACTACACATCCAAGATCAAAATTTAAATAGTCTTACCTTTTAAAATTCATTCACCATGTCTAAAAATTCATTCACCATGTCTAAAAGAACAAGATCCGAAACACCCGAAGTTGAACCAAGTATATTATGGGAGTTATTAATCAGATTCGGAAACAAACTAGGGTCTTATGAACGAGCAGAAACAGCTTTTATCAATGAAAGACGTGAATTAGTATTTAGATTATTTCAAGATATTCAATCAGTCATCTATCAATATCCAGAAGAACATCAAATCTTTTCCGATGATCATCAAATGACTGCTATTGATTTCGCTTCCAAATTACTTCAGAACACAGTCAGAGTTCGTGATATGACACCTGGCCCATCAGGTAGTGATGCTTTAACACAATTACAAGACTCACAACAATCTATGCAACAAAATGACGAATCGGTAATTGAAACAGCCATGGACTACTTGAATCACAAAGTTTTTAGATTCTCAAATAGAAATCATCATTCACTTGATCTTTGCTTGATTTGTCATGAAGAATTCAAATCTGGTCAATCGGTTTCTCAATTTCCTTGTTATGATTCTGACAATCATGAGTTTCATACTACTTGTGTAGAGGTACGTCAAAAGTTCCATTGCTTTGATTTTTTTTTCATCTTTGGCTTAGTGAACTGACTCAAACTGCTTCTCGTCTGCTTTCGATCTGTCTTTGATTGTTTTAGGTTTGGTTGAGGACTTCATTTAGGTGCCCGATCTGTAGTACTTCTGTCGAGGAAATTTGTTCAAAGAGAAACCAAGTTTGGGTGGAAGATGCATAACTTCAAAGAACAGTTGATAACATGTACTTGCTACTATATAAAGTAGAATCTTGCTAGCCGGTCTCAGAAGATTCACTTCATTTACATAAAATTACTTATCAAACCTGATACGATTTGTTTTGAACGGACTCAATGTTGGATTTAAATTTCATATCATGATCTAGCCTCATTCTTCATATTTTAAAACACTTAAATTCTACTCCAAGCTTCAGATTATGGAACTCGCTTTGCTTAGAACACCACGAATTGGAGCAATTCTAAGAAGTAGGAGGCCAATCATCATTCAGCATAGTCATTCCTTAGTCTTTGATAGATAAAGTTCGACTATTCAGTTAAGACATTTTAGTTTTGGTGTCAACCCAAGATTTGTTTTCTATATCATCATCAATTATCAAATTATCAAAAAAACTCTTTATCTACATGGACTTGATTATATTTCATCTCATTATTTGCTCTGTTAGAATATTGTTGGAAGTTTAGAAAGGTCTGTTTGAAGTTGAATAGCCAGGTCTATTCATTTGAGTCTGGTAAAAATTCTCACTAAGATTTGCGTTGGGTTCTCGGGCGTTTTCCTTTCTAAAAAATTATGGAAACATTTCCATGTTGCTTTGTCGAATGTAGAATTTGTCCCCATACGCTAAGAAATCTTGTCCAAAAGTTTTTTGAATTATCAACCTTGGAACAATGATATATTTGTTTCCAATTGTTTCGCGAGATTTGCCATGAACCATCCTTCATATTCTAAGATATCTAAAGAACTTGGTGATCTTGGCTACCTTCTACAGATATTATAAATGAGTACCATAGTTATGAATCTGTAGACCAAACGTGTGTTAACAGATATCCCGAAAGAAAAAGCAAAGCATAGAGGAGAGAAGCTACGAGAGACAGGGAGAGATCAGACGGTCCAAGGCACATTGTGCTTTGCATCCAAATCAGAAAAAAATGCTCTATAAAACTATGATTCTACCATCATGTAAATCTAAACGATTAACAAGTAGATTTCCGTCTTCTTTTCAACTTGGTACTGTAATTTCATGAAAGTAACCAAAATAGCAGCCCTGCTAGTCAAGTTTCATCTCCAAATGTCATACATTGATCGGGGCAAGATCTGGAAGCATGTTCGAGGACAAGGCGATGGTAATGTTGCCCTGAGCTCATTTCTGCCGACTAGAGCGCAAAATTCCGAAAACAAAACCAAGACCTGCTCGGCAGGACGCGGCCGCGCAAGGCGAACTCTGTTACCATTACGCGCAAAAATCGAAGATTTCACCTCCATTGGCTGGATGAAAACTATGTCATGAAGATACTTGAAATCATCTTCATCACGACAGACGTGGCGAAAAGGAAAATGCTGGGCGGTTTGAGCCTCTAGAATGTCTATGTCGACGAAAAGACGTACGGATAGGGATTCATCCTCATTCATCCACGGTTCAACTTCAAATGTTCATCAGCGCCTCGCATGTATTCTACCAAGCAAGGCATGATATCTCCTGTGAGCGACGCCTTGCCAAACGCTGATGCCGCCGCGAAAGTGATCCCCCAAAATATCAGGCGTGACACTCCGTGCAGTTTATTGTTTCTTGACGATCTGTTGCTTCTTGCCAGGGCTGAGCCCTGCGTTCCTCCTGTGCTGCCGTGGGCTAGGCGCTTGCCTTTCTGCACCTCTATAAAGGCTGACTTTCGAGCGCTTCTTTCATTCGTTCCTTATCCGTTCATCTTCAATAACTTGTATACATAACTGTCCATAATCAATCTATCATCTTTTCCCAGTAATCTTTAGTTAACCCAAATCCTCTTCATCACCTTTGTAATATAATCCCCCCACCAGTTATCAGACCAACTTTGTTTTACCTTAATCACTTCCAACTCTCATACCGTATAATAGCTCCTAATACACTTTTAAAAACAAATCATCAAAATGCTTCTCAACGTCTCCTTCATCGCTGCCTGTCTCCTCTTAGTCAACGTATCTCAAGCGGCACCAGTTGGTGAGATTGCAACGCAGAATGGCCTTCAAACTTCCAACTTTCAATTTCAACGACGACAAACTCCTACTGCCTCCAACGGCCCAATTCAACTGACAGACGACGAAAAGAAAGCAATTGAAAAATCAAAGTTGGAGACCAAGGCCAAAATTGACGCCGCCATCGCTGCTGGTGCAACAATTGACCAGACTGAACTCTCGGCAGCTGCCAAGAAGGCCATCGCATCTAACACTGGCAGTGATAACAAGACAATCGGTAAGGCAATCAAGGCAGCTATTGAAAGTTTGGCAGATCAAAAGCTTGCTGAAGCAAAAGGCAAATCTTCGTGAGTAATTCATGCTTCGTTCAGTATGAGCTCTTCGAAATTCATTTCCTGACATGAACTTCAACAGAGGACCACAACGACGACAAGCTCCTGCCGGCTCACTTCAATTGACCGAAGAAGAGAAGATCGCAGTAGATAAATCAAAGGTAGAGACGAAGGCCAAGATTGACGCTGCCACCGCTGCTGGCGCAAGCGTGGATCCATCCGAAATCTCAGCAGCCGTCAAGAAGGCAATCGCCGATACCCCAAACGGCGATCGTAAGGCAACTGGAAAAGCTATCAAGACAGCTGTTGAGAGTTTGGCTGACCAGAAGCTTGCTGAAGCGAAAGGAAAACCTGCGTGAGTCACTTCTGTCTATGTTTCCCTCGGTCTTAGAAAACTATTCCCTGACATCAAACTACTTTAGATCCCGACAACGACGTTCTGATTTGAGCGAAGAAGCTAAAGCGGCTTTAGCACACGTCAAGAAAGAAGGTAAAGCAAGAATTGAAGCTGTGACTTCTGCGGGTGGAACTGTTGAGGACAGCGACATATTGGCAGTCATTAAGAAGGCTGATTCTGAGAACCCCAACAAGGATATCAACACTGCGAATGCTATCAAGGCAGGGTTTATCAGTCTTACAGATCAAAAGCTTGCTGAAGCCAAATCTAAGTCTTCACCTCAATGATGTAATCTCTTTTGATCGTAATTTTTATCTTGTTTGGCGAAAAGTGTCATGCTGTGGATTTGTTTGCATTTTTATGACTGCTGCACGTTGATCCACGAACCCATTGTACATATATAATCCCGATATTTCAAACCTTTTTGCCAGGAGTTTGAAATATGAGAAAATGATCTCGCTCCAATGTCAGCATCTTGTTCACCCTCCTCCTCCTCTTCGTAGCTTGGATGTTTATGTCCTGGGTCGCTTGTTATGAAGGTTCACACCTTCAACTCGGCTCAACTCATACGTAAGTCCACTTCCGCGGCTAAGAAAGATTTTGGACAGCTTTAGAGGACCGCAAAGTGATGAAAATCTCGTTCAAAAAGCACATGTCAGACATTGGACGACCAAAATGTAAATCCCAATGACAGGCCGCCCAGGTCGTACTAAAATCGTGTCCAGCTGTTTGCTTTATGAGAACCTAAGTAGACGAAGCTCTAGCGATGCCCTTCACCAACTCATGCTAGATCGTTTTTCTTCTGCTGTAAGTTCCACAGTACATGACCAAATGGATTTTCATTTATCTTTCTGATTATTTCTCTATGTTCTAGTTAATACAACACTCTGTGCCATTTCTTACGAATTCCCTCTACATACTTTGAATCCGAGGGGATGGCACGCTTCTCGAATCAATTCCTTAATGAAAATGATGACTGGTCAAAGCTCGCCTAAAGCTTTTTGATATTAAAGTCTGCATGCTTATTGAATTGAGAATGTGTTTTACATGAATCTGATCTTTCGACTTTTATCGGGTTAAGATCCCAATGAAGATTTACAAACAAGTTTGGTGAATCCTTCAATACCACACATATAAGTTGATCATCATACGAGTTTCCTTTCAGATTCGCTTGGTTTTCGATCAGCCACTTGACCAAGTTGATCCAATGATGGCGCTCCAACGACCATTTCGCTTTGAGAAGTTCTACCTCCTCTGATCCAACTAGTTGCCGATCCAAGAAGTCCAAGTGGTGGTAATTGTTGAGGTGTAGGTGGAGTAACAGGAGATGATGGTGAGGAAAGAGATTGTTCTTTGCTTTCATTCAATCGTTTGATCTCTTCGATTGAAGGAGCAGGAATATCTGAAAAATCATCTTGTTTGACTGCAGAAATCGAGTATGCATAAACTGAAAATGTAAATGAAAGGATTCCTGCTCCTGTGAGTAAGTTTTTGGCTCGGAATGGTGCTCTTGCTCTTTGTAAACCTAAAGAACAACCAACCAGTTTTGTCAAATTAGAGTGGTACATGGGAATTTCTTGGGATTCAAATTTTCATACAGTTCTTACCTTGGCTCATTCGACCTGATGCCCAGTAGGTATCCCGTTTTTCTCTGTGGTTCAAAGTACTGCCCATCTTGTTCGATGTTGTGGTGTTTCTTGGGTGGAGCTGGTCGTTTGTATCATGCAACCAGGAAGAAGTCGCGAAGGGTTTCTTTGAAATTTACAAAACCGTCAAGACCTCCCTTAAGCCATGCTACAAGTGGTGAAGGGGTGGGAACAAGGCACGGTACGGTACCGATGGCAGCTACTAGTTACAACTTACAAGCGAAGTTTGTCCTGGGACCTTGAACAACCCAAACTCTAGCTTCTCCAATCCCCTTTCTCCACCTCATCAACTTCCATCCACATTCACATCCATCCATCATCACACCAACTAACACTCACAAAAACATCACTTCAAACATCATCATGACTACTGTAGCATTCCCTTCTCGAAAACCACAAACACCCAAGGAAGCTGTCTTTCGTCAAGATTTGGTAAGTTCCATTAACCCATCCTTTTCTTTCCTTTTTCGGTTCAAACTTTTGAAAAACTCACTCAACCTCTAACTCTTTCGCTCTTCAACTCAATAGAACGTTCGCTTGGGATGTCCTGATTGTAGAACTTATAAGCTGGTTGAAGAGTTTTCATCCGGTGATCTCGTCTGCGGTACTTGCGGTCTTGTCATCGGTGATGTGAGTGCTTTCTGATCTTTCAGAGATTTCGAACTCGATTTGTTTAATCGGATCGTCTCCCACACTCAACCAATAGCGTATTGTTGATACTCGCTCTGAGTGTAAGTTCTTCATTGGTCATGACTCCCAATTACTTTATTGATCATTCCTACATTCTCATTTCAAATTGTTTCTAGGGAGAACGTTTGCTGGTGATGAAGGAGACGACCCTTCCCGTGTCGGAGGTCCAAGTAACCCACTCTTGAATGGTGTGGAAACTTTCGAGACCATCATTTCTTTCAAGGATGGTAATACTGGGGTCGCCCGTGATTTGAACCGAGCCGCTACTCGTGCTGCTACGAAAAGTGGAGAGAAGAGTGTGGCCGCTGCCTTTTTGTCTATCCAAGACATGTGTGATACCATCAGTCTGCCACGTACGGTCACTGATATTGCTAAGCAACTCTTCAGAAGGGCAGATGAAGGTAAAGATCTCTTTCTATTGCTTCTCTTGGATTACGAGCGATCCGAAGATGCTCAAACCATCTTATCTCTCCTTACCACTAATCTCCTAACCGTCACCACCACCTCACAATAGAGAAATTGTTGAGGGGTAAACAAATCGACGCGGTTATTGCTGCTTGCATCTTTATCGCTTGTCGACAATCTAAAGTAGGACGATCCTTCAAGGAGGTAGTCGCACTCACCCGAGTACCCAAGAAACAGATCGGCCAATGCTTCAAGGCTCTCTCTGCTGCCTTCGAGACTTCAGCTGTTGGTGGGGGTGGAGCCCTGAACACCGATACTGGCGAGTCTAGCGGGGCTGGAGCTGAAGACCTCATGGCTCGATTCTGTAGTCATCTTGGGTTACCATACTATGTTCAGAGTGGAGCAAAGCGGATTGCAATCACTCAACGTGAAATTGGAATCCTTGCTGGTCGTAGTCCGATCAGTGTAGCAGGTGCTTGTATTTATTTTGCAAGTCATTTGTTTGGATGTGGAAAAAGTGCGAAGGATATTGCAAAGATTGCAGGTGTTAGTGAGGTGACGATCAAGATTGCTTACAAGTCAGTTTTTCTTCTTCATTCTTGTATTTGTCTGTTGTTGATGATTCACTTGAACTAATTCTGTGATTGCATTCAAAGGCTACTTCATCCTCAACGGGAGGAGTTGGCAGAACCAGAAAAGTTGGCAAATGGAACCTGTTCATTAGATCGTTTGCCTGCTCCTTAAAGGTTTTTTAAATCCCATCTTGGACGTTTTCTCTTTGTTTTTGTTAATCATCTATACATGAGTGTTGAGTGAAATATGTGTTTCTTGAACTTTTAATAAATGGTTTATACCTGTACGAGTTTTGTACGACGTTACACTTTTAATGAAGTGGACGTTTGTCTCTTTTTTGAATGATGAAAGTTGATGATATTTGAAGTTTTTATTTGTTCTTACATACATATGTATATCCTTTGTTTTGAAACGTAAAGTGTTTTTGTTGGTTTGATTTGTAAGGTTGAGAGTCTTATGATCATGTACTAGATCTGGCTGGCTTGCCAAATGGAGAAATTGTAAAGAAGACAATCTTCATTTACTTTCAATTTGCTCAACAAACAAGTTTATGACAACAATATCCTCAACCAAGAGGAGATCACATTTTTTCTCCACACACTGATTTGTTTTTCCAATTGCATGATTGGATACACATGTGTCACATTGGGAGACCGGGTTTTCAATTTGTACAAATGGCTTTTCTTTTTCCTTTGATGCTTTTCTCTGTCTTGTGGTCTCATTGTCTTGTATAGAGATGCAAGGCCATGATTGGTAGAAAGAGCAAGCTGAGGCATAAAAAATAGGATCCTTCCTCTGAGTCTAACAACCACAACACAGAATAAAGGTTAACCAACAGGATCATCACCCGGTGACATGCACAGTGCTGAAGATTCTTCCTCTCATCTCGCATGAAGATTCTGTCACGTCCAAGCATAAAAAAGGAGAAGTTTAAGATACCTTCATCTAATTTTGTAAATTTTGGTATCTTCAAAATGTGCAAAAAATCTTTACTGGATGACTAGCAGAATATGGCTGAATATTATTGAGACTTCTATTTTGTTTGATGCTCATGAGAGAAAAATGGTTAACTTTATACAAGTTAGTAAGTGTTCAGGAGAGAATACCACAGTTTAGTGGCTGGAAGAGAACAAGTGAAGATATGGTTGGCAATGTGTGAATAATGACCCTAGAAGTTTAGGGGTCTCTCGTATAGCTTCACAGGTTTTGAGGGATTATGGATTGAATTTTGGAAAAAATCAGAACTCAAGCATGTCAGGTGATTGATGAAGGCTTTTTCCAATACTTTGGATTGGTAAGGGAAGAGGATGGATATGTTGTCCAACTGCTCATGTATAAATATTCAATATTCATAAGGATCAGATTATATGAGATTGCTTAAATGTACAAGGTAGTCAAACTGATAAGGAGCCATAAGTCAATGGGCATTTGTTTGATGACCTTCAAAATTTTGACCTTCAAAATTTTTGATTGATTTGAGAACTTACTGTAGTATATATTTGAAAGATATGGGCATATAATGTTCCTCTTGTGCGCAAAAAGGAAATTTCTCACCACTGATCGAAGCGAAGAATGATATTGGAGAACTGGGAATCTTGCTGGAGCGCTCATCATAATTGAACATTAAACCAACAAAGTAAAGTCTTTGAATGATAGGAATCAGATGAGCTTGAACAGGAAATTGATTTCAGGTAGAACGTAAAGCAATCGAGATCATAAAATTCCACACGTTTTTTGAGACAAAGATTCGCAGTTCCAGCCAGACAGAATTGTGTTTTAATACTTTGAAATTAATAATGTGATGTTGAACAGTTTGCATGTTTCTTCCAATTCCTCTACGTCTGGCCAATCAGCAAGTTTCTCGTCATAATTTGAGTATTGAATATCCAAAACCAAAAGCTTAGGCCAAGTACGTCGAGATAGGAGATGTTTCAAGAAGTTCCATTGATCATTATACATATGACCCCAATGTTCAATGACTTCTATACTTTTACAGTTTTCAAAGCTTGCAAGTAGATCGGAGCTTCTCCGATCATTAAGTACACGGAGGGTTTTGAGAGCCGGAAGATCAAAGCGTATCTCCATATCTGGGCTTTTTGCGAGGTGGTGAAGTTCAATGTGAAGTTTAGAAAGAAAGCGGGCTCTACCGTTGAGGAATTTGTTGGCCATGTCAATTGTGATTTCCTCACAGCATTCGAGTCCAAGAACTGAGAATTGTTCAAGCCAAGAATTTGCGGTCCACGTTTGATCCTGGCAATTGATGTCCTCAAGATAAAGTATGTGAAGCTTCTAAAGCTGGGCTAGGTTCCAACCCAAGGATTCTTCGACAGATTCTTTTGGGAGAAATTTCAAACTGTGGAGTTCCAATGAAGCAAGAGATGGCAATTCTTTGATGACATCAATTACAAAGTCGCCTGAAAGAGGTCTCAAACTGTGGTCACGTAAATTTAAATATTGAAGTCGTGACAGAAGCTGAAATGAGCTCCGCAAGCGAACTGCAAGATCAGGTCCAGGAATCCACTCAAAGTCCTTTCGATCCGAAGGGAGGATCACTTCTACCGCCTCTAGAGAAGGGCAGAGTTTGAATATCTTCACGATGTTCAACACTCCAATTGCGTATCCGAAGCCGTGACCATCAATCGATGAGGTATTATCAGAAAGACTCCTTTCGAATTCCGAAAACAGATGACTATCCTGATGGCCATCTGAGTTTCTCAACAAAAATCGGGCCGACTTTACGAAGTTTGCATATTTCAAGAGTAGATCACCCGTCCAAAGTGGCATGGGAGCAGGTACCGAGCTGGGGAATGTGATGTGCTGATAGATTTGACAAACTTGAATCAGCTTACTTCTTTGGATCTTGATCAAAGCTGGATTTCTTGCAAAAAACGGTCCTACCTGCCATAACTTAGGAAGACAAAGCCGGTGAAACTTTCGGTTGACCACAGCAAGGTTTTGAAAGCTATTAAGAACTGGAGGACCATCGTGACCCAGGTATACTTCAAATTCCATACCTTTCTTTGGGTAGTGGCGGACCCGCTCTGATTTCCTTTCCTCGATAGAGTGAAACTCTTCAGAAGACTGGTGGTAAACCATGCTCACGATGTTGTCCAATATTTCTTCCGGAAAATTGGCACGATTGATGATGCAAGAATTGGATTGGAATCGGCCTGCCAAGAATTGAAAGGCATCTCCAGCAGACCCCTCGATGTTGAAGCCCTGTTGGAGTTCTTCGTCGATTGACCAGAATATCAAGTTGAAGACTGCTTGGTTTAGTTTTGGATCGTGCTTGTGTAACTCGTGTAGCAAGTAGTCGGATGACCCAGTGAGATTTCTTATCATAACCTTCAGGTGGTTTTCCCATGTACTGAAGTTTTCGCCAGTGTTTTTTAACTGGGGGATACACTTTGCAACTTTATGAAGTCTGTATATGAACTCCGGGCTACAATAAGCTTCCTTTGCAATGCTAGACTTCTGTGATCTGAGATTATGATCGGCGTCCATTTCACTGTTTGTTTGTGAATAACTGTGGGACGAAGATGGATTCCGAAGACGATAATGAAATCAAACAAAGGTTATAAGGCTGAGGAATGATACTAGTTAGTAACTGATAAGACATAAAGTCTTAATGACCGATGAGAGCAAGGTAGAAGCAAACCTGCTCGAAGAGAAGAGTAGAAATTGGTGGAGAAGAAGGAATACAAGTAGTGGATATCCTTGTTCTATTAGGGGATACAAAGTAGAAAGCCGGGCACGTGCCCGGGCATGTGCCCACAATCACGTGGTGGGCGCGGGTTTTGAATTTTGGGCAGGCCCAGGCGCGGATTTTGACTGTTCCAAAGGCACGCCTATAGTGGGGGCGCAGAGGCGTGCCTCTGAGGTGTCAAAATCCCCCCAAAAATCAAAAAAAGGCAAAAAAACCCGCTCAACAACATCAGAAAGGACTTTTTTGTATTTCATAACAGTTCTGCTGTACACCTCATGAACATTCATTGAAGTAAACCATCGAAAAGATTCTCCTCATCCCAGTCTTCATTGTCAGATCCCTCATCTAAAACAATAGTAACAGCTTGTTCTGCTTCAACTCTAATATTGAATAATGTTAAATCAAAGAGAGTGTCTATAAAACCACTCTCAGTAATATCCTCTTGTTCTTCTCCCTGATCCACCTCATCTTCACCATGAATTCCATTTTCAAACTCTTGAACTTGATCAAGATCTTCAAATTGAGGATCTAGATCTTGTGAATCATCAGCAGCAGCAGTTTGATCGTTATTTTTGATCGATTTGGCCACACGATTCGATTGCTCGGATTCGAGATCCATCTCGATTTGAGACATCATCTTTAATGTTGAGACATCCATTCGAGCGCGCGACTTAGTCTTTTGAGAACCCATCCGCGAAAAGAGGCTTTCAACACCCGCAGCGTGGGGTACAATTTCTAAGAGCTTGATGGTGAACGACTTGAGCTCTTGAGTCTGTGGATTAGCTGGTACCTTCAACCAGTAATTCATGGCAGATGAACCTAAACAATAATCAAGATTAGTTACATTATCACATCCGATATGATAATGAGAAATCACAACTTGCCATCTGGAGGTATACGAAATGGACCCTCGGAGTTGTAGTATTGTAAGACTTGTGTGATCAGGTTTTTACATTCAATCTGTTTGAACTTCCAAACTTTTGCGATTTTGACAATAGCTCGCGTGAAGTAATTGATATCGTATTTTTGAGACGCAGCGATTTGACGAAACTGAGGTGTCAGGAAAAATCCAAGGATGTAGGCCGGTTTGTCAAAGACTTTGCATCACTTGTTGATTATTTGAATACTGTGAGACTTGAAAGTTGAATATTGAGATTCAACTTTCATATCTTTGAGCTTCATGTACAACACAATCACCTCGCTCCAAACTTCACCAACGGTAGTATTCGCGCGTTCTAATTTTGCAATCGTATCAACAACTGGCTGGAGTACTCGGACTAAGACATCATTCGAAGCAAAGTGAAGACGATTGAAAACAATGTCCCTGATACTCTTCTTGATTGAAGGCGCATCGGTTGATCGATCGATCGAAGTCTCGACACATTTTCGAAAACCGAGTTCGTGTGATTGAACAGACAGACAGACCTTGGCAAAAGAGAACCATCGAGTCTCGGAGAACGTTTTGATTCCGTGTCCGACTTTCTCAGTAACTCGCCAACTCTCTAACCATTGAATCCAATAATGAGCTTTGGTAAAAAAATTGACTAGTTCTTTGTTGTTGGAGACAACCTCTCTCATGCTTGGATGCGACAGAATGTCTTTAGTAACTAAGTTGATGACATGAAGACAGCAAGGTAAGGTGATGATCGCTGGATGTTCCTCAGTAATGATTTTCTATCATTTGACAAAGGAGATAAATGTTCGAATCAGATTACAAGACAGTGAGAAGAAAAAAGAAGCCTTGACAAGTTGACTTACACAAAACTTTATCATAACTGCTGGAGAATCAGTGACAACAGCACTGATCTGATCCCATCGAAGACCCTGAGCCTTGAGAGTGTCATTTAAAGCGGAAAAGGTGTTTTCAGAGGTATGTCGCTTTTGATTCAATTCGAGAACATCAATGAATTGCTTGACTTCAGTGCCTCGTAAGACTAAAACTGCGTATATGCTGTTTTTTGATACGTCAGTCCAGCCATCTAAAGTGATAGTCAAGTTCGACTGTTTCGCTAACTTCTCCTTGATTGCTATCTCGTGTTTAGCATGTAACATTGGAAGTACATTTTCAATCATCCGATAACGAGTAGGAGGCTTGAATACACATACAGCTAGCA